AAATTCATGACAAAACGAACCGCGCGGCGCTCGAGCGGAGCGGCGGTGGCGCCGCCGGTAACGAACGCGACGCCGCGCGCGGGCAGCCGCCGGAGGAACTGCCGCACGCGCGGCCGCACCTCATCGAGCCGCTCCCGCTCGCCCGTCGGGAGGTTCGCGGCGAAGAAGCCCTCAAAGTTCGCATCCTCCATGATATCGTGTGGAGTGAATGGGTTTGGTTTGGCCTTGCCCCTGCCCCTGCCGTGTTTTCTGTTTGCTGTCGGTAGGTGGGTTCTGTTTAGGATGAGGACGTACTTGTGTATTTGTTAGATCCTACGCTTTCACTTTCACCACTAGGGGTGTGAGAAGGATAAGAAGAAGAAGAGGAGGGGGAGGTTGCTTTTACGTTTGCAACGCCAGATTTCAAAAGGCGAGCTTCCAACGACGAGCTGCTAATTTGTCTACAAGGCGTTCAAATGTTGTGTTTGCACAAGGCCACACCCAAATTCATGCATTTTTATGGGTACGATTAGAATACAAACCTTGCGCCCTTCCCCCATCCGAGGACTTTTTCCCTTCCACCGTCGTCGTAGCGGACTTTATTTCCATCCTCCTCCACGGGTGCTGACGGGAATGACATCCCCAACGCGGGCTGCGTTAGTCCTGCAGATCCGTCATCCCACCCTGGGGCTTCTCCATCAGCTCCGCTACCGCCCTTTAAAAGGCCTGCTGGCGCTCAAACCACGGCCGCCACGCGGAGCCCTTAAAGGATGCCCTTTTTGATGACGCAATGGAGGTCCTCATTGGGGATGGAGCCGCGCAGGTACTCGGGGCCTCTCTCTTTCCAGTACTGATGCACCCGAGATCGCTTGTGTGGGAGCTGCAGTGCCGATAGGAACTCATTTTTCACATACATAGGTGTCCTTCGTTGGTGGAGGGCGTGGGTGGGTGTAAAGGCATTGGGTTATAAACGAGGTCCAATAACGGGACTCAGATAATGCAACCTTTTTCCTTTGCTAAATCGCTGAACGAGAGACGCCCAGCTTCGACTTCTTAGGTGGAAGTAGCGTAGTTAGTTAAATAAAAGCAATAAGTGAGGGAGAGAATGAGTGAAAAAGTCACTCTACGACTGACTTTGCCCAGAGTGCTTGGCGATCATGGGGGTTTGGAAAACAAACACACACACACGCACACACAATATGTTATCCATTTGTTTTTTATGCTTGAAGTTGCATATATGGATGTTTACATTGAAGCGAAGCACATACATATATATATGTATATATATAAGCATATATTTCTACAAATAGTAATCGCAATGACAGCAGCAAGGACTCTCTCACAATAGTTATATGTACATATTCCTTTACTATAACTCACCAGTACTCATCCACTTGAGTTGTGCTCGCACGTCATTGCAAACAATATCGGGATAGCCCCTATCATTGCCAGCATGTTTGAAGTAGTGACTCCCCCTAGCAAAGCCCAACAACACACGCGCGCTATCGATGAGCTCCATGTCGCCCGACTGTCTGGCAGCCTCAAAGCTCTCGGCAAAGCGGACCATAATTTCAGTGGACGTATTCCCATAACCCTGAGAGTCCTTATCCCCGATTTCCTCCCTCAGCTTGGAGCGATAGGCTTCACCAAGGTGCATCGTCGCTTTCGCGATCTTCACCGCATCCCCGAGCTCGCGCGCCATGCTGGCAGCTTCCTGCAGTGAGGTTATCGCCTGATTGTTATCCCCAATGCGATCCTCGAGGCTCGCGACGTTCATGATGGCCTGACACTCCTTCTCAAAAAGCTGGTCGCGATGCGAGACGATTCGAAAGTTCTTTTGGTATTCCAAGGCGGTGTATAGTTGACCTTTTTTCTCGTGTAAGTAGCCTAGGGCCTCGTAGGCGGAGCCTTCCTCCACACTATACCTTGAACGCTGGGCACGAACTGCGCACCGCTCGAAGTAGTTCCTCGCAGTCTGAAAGTTCCCTGCCGCCAGCTCCCGCTCCCCCAACATCTGGTATAGAGTAACTAGTGAAAAGCTCACGACGAGGGCCTTCTCCTCATCCTTCACGGCTTTAGCGAGACGGTACATGATTTCGTACTGCTCCGCCGAGGCCTCGAGCTTCCCACAGCGCTGTAGGAAGGAGGCGTAGTTCTCCCGAGCGGTCTGCTCCAGCGGCACGTCGAGGGACTCCGTCATATAGCGCAACGCCCTCTCGTGATGCCACGCGGCCTCGACCAAATCCCCCTCCGATTCAAAGTACCCCGCCAGCTCACTACAGGCGTTTAATACATCGCGGAACTCACTCTGCCGGCGCAGCACCTCCACCGCGGAGAGCTTTTGCTGCACCCACGCTAGCTTACCCTCTGGAATCGTGAAGTGCTTCTGGGATAGTTCGTTTACGCATACCGGATCTCGATGTGAGAGATAAAAGAAGCGAATAAAGGACTGAATGCACCCTTCCTGAAGGGCTTGAACAGCGAGGTGGAAGCACGGCAAGTCGCGTTCCGGCCGTGTAACTACAACAGAATCTACACACGCGACGGGTTTCGTTGATGCGGATCCATCCTCGCCCTCAGACCTTCGCGTGCTATCCTGGACCCCGCTTGGGTTGTGGCTGCCCCAATGCACGGTGCGCTTATACGCGGGTCGCTCACCTTGGGGTGGTGCCCTGGACCCCGTTAAAGGGCCCTGCGGCGTCGATGAACCCTGTCCGTTAAGCAACCCTGCGTGTTTCCTAACGGATTTGCTGGTTTGGCTGTGGGAAAGCGGCGGTACGCGATTCCCCCGCGGCCGATGCACCACCCCAGCAGGGGTCGGAAGCGTCGCTGCATGCGACAGCTTGCTCTGCGGCATATCGTCCTTCTTGCTATTACTTTGCCACCCTTGTTCCGTTTCAGGATAATTTCGTGAATTTGATCGGATTGGGTGGAATAAAAATAACAGACTTCGAAGAAGAGGTTCAGGAGAAGGAGTGGAAAAGGGACAGGGGGAAGGAAGAAAGAGAGAAAATAGATGGCATCGAGGGCACCACCAACTGGTGTTCACAAGAAGTACCACAGAGAACCCAGAGTTAAATTTAATAGTTTTCGCAAATCTTTGATGTTTATGGTTGTGAATTCACACGACCCTTCAGAGGAACGTGGCTCATGGAGACATAGTAATATCACTATGCGCCTCTAAACACTGATAAATTCGAGCCGCCCCGTTTCCGAGTCCTCAGAAGAACTGGAAGAGTCCGAAGACGAGATTAAAGACGAGATGGAGCGCGAGCGGGGCAGCTCCGAGGAATATTTTTCTTTTCGCATTCGCTTCCGAAGCGCCGAGAGCTGCGCCTTTCCCTCCTCCGAGATGGTGTTGGGGAGCCCAAGAAACGGGCCGCAGCGTACCACGAAACCCTCGTCGCCGTACCCCATCTGCTCCTCTCGCCGCAGCGGTGGGGGGTCGGTGGGGAGGTCCGGCAGCCGCCCGCCGCGATCCCACCGGGGGTTGGTCAAGTAGTACAGCGAGACCGTCAGGAAGGTGTGCTCGAAGGGGGTTGCCTCGATGCGCTGCTTGACCAAGGCGAGAGACGGACTTGGGGTCGTTGGCGACGCCGACGCGGGCGACGGGCGGGTGTGAGTGCCGCCATCAAGGCCCCCTCCTCCGCCGGTGGGGGTGGGATACTCGATAAAGCAGTGGCCTCGGCTCGCGCCGTTCACCGGGTCGTCGTAAAGACGCGTCGTCGTCGGCTCTGCCTCAGGGAAGATCTGCCGCAAGTAGCGGTGGATCATCACCTCGGATACGTACCAGGAGAAGCCCGACGCAATCAGAACATTCGCCTGACGATCGGGCGGACACCGGATCAGACGCGGCTTGTTGTCGCCGTGAAGTGTTTTTGGGGATGAGACGTTGGAGGGGTGCATGTTTCTCTCCCCCCTTTTCCGCGTACACACTTCTCGCGCAATGCAATGTCTATTTAGTTATTTACTCGCGCGTGTTTATTTTCTAAACTAGTATAATTCTAAGGACTGTGCCCTTTAGCTACAATAATGGGAAGAAAGGTTTATGAGATAATGTGTGCTCATTCAAATTTCGAAATCCATATGTTCTGCTGACTGCATAGTACGTGCTAACTACACATTTTTCTGCTTGAATGCAAACAATCCCCTCCTCTCTGAAGCACCTCTTTGATAACCCTAGTATTATGTGAATATCGTTTATGTGAAGACGCAACATCATTTAGCTTGGTTCCCGTTTTCGAAGCCCTCCTTCGACTATTTTTTTTGTCCCATGGAATGATTCACTACTGTCTCACCGCAGGGGAAGCTGTTCGAGCACCTCTCGCATGCCCTTACGTAGCTCCGCATCGATGCCATACCTGTCGGGGGCGAATCCATTCCTCCCTGACTCACTTAACTTTAGCAGGCCCTCAAGCTGTTCGCGGGTAAACCCACCGTCCCTATAGTGCGCTTTAATAAGCCTCACACACGTCTGCTCGAGATCCAGCCGCTGCGTCATGTTCGGGGCGTGGAGTAAAAGAAAGGCCACCACCCGGGCGCTACCGTGCTCGTCCAATATACTTTGCCTAAGCACATGCTCTTGGACGAGGTGGAGAAGTTCATCAGCGGCCTCAACCACCCCCTGCGAAGGCCCGGCGGACACGTCTACATTCAGAATCTTCTCCAGCGCCATAACCACATACACAACAATGATCAGCGGAACTCGACGCACAAGTGCGTCGCCAGGGTCCTCTAAACGCAGTAGGAGCGGATTTTGGACTTCCCCGCCGGACGACCTCGTACGAGGTGGTCCGTGTAGCCGTTCCTTGAGGGCATCCTTAAGCTGCCGCAGCACACCTGGTAGCCAAGTGCTCTCGCCATCCCCTGCCTCGTCGTGAGTGTGCAGCCAGGCTGAAGATATGATAATGTTGGCGAGGCTATCTATGGACAGCGCATTACGCAATGGGGCGAAGGGGGGCTCGGGTTTTGGAGGACCGCTCCCCGACTTCGAGCAGATCTCCTTGCGGCCGAGAAGGGCCTCGTGGTGGTAGCGCCGTATGGTACGCCACCAGGGAAAGTCGGGGTGCCCCTCCACCAAGAGAGGCAAACCCCGCGTAAGAAAGCCCATCACTCCTTCGCAGTCCATCGTCATGTACAGCTGCCAAAGCCCCTGCACCATGGCCTGGTGGAAGTGCGCCTCCCGGAGCGCGGGCGGGATGCAGGGCTGGTGGAGTGCCCACACCTGCTCCCCCCACACGTGCAGCGTGGGGCTCTGCACGGAGACCACCGCGGCCTCCCGCTGTGACGCCCCTGCCCTTCCCTCCTCCGGCCAGCAGCCCCGCCGCGCCGCGAGGAGGACGCGGAGGACGGCGGCCCGATCGCGCAGCGCGGTCATCCTGTCTCCATCGCCCTGCAAAACCCCCTCGCAGAGCCGCCACGCCTCGTCCTCCCCGAGGACCTCCTTGAGAAGCCGCTCCCGGGGCGTAAGGGGCCCGTCCTCCGCAGGGTCTCGTCCCCTGCCCGCGCAGACGGCTGAGATGACGTCCATGACCTCCTCCGGGCTTTGGTACGCAAGCGTCTGTCGAAGTGGGAAGTGCTCAAACAGTGCGCGCACCGAGTCCCACCGCGTGCACTGCGCTGCTCCTATCCACAATCGGTTCATCTCCACTGAGGTGAGGCCGTCGCGAGGGAGGTTCTCCCGAAAATAGTCAACGACGGCACCCTCCGCTTCCAGCTTCATTGAATTCACCGAGTCTGGGAAGCGCTGGATGGTTTGGAAGAGGCGCGGCGCACAGCCAAGCGGAAGGATGCCACGTTCCGTGTCAAGCATCTCCCGAAAGGCCACGGGCACGTGGCTTAGTTTATAAATAAGAAGTTTAAGGGCTTCTGCATGATCCACATAGTCGTTCAGGGCGTACGTATACAGCATGTCAGTGCGCTGGAAGACAAGCTGCTCTCGAGGGCTCATGAGAAAGTGCCGGACAACCTTATCAATGAGTCGAGACTGAGGCCTCACAAGGGAAAACGGATGGATGTCCATCCGTTTTGAAATCTCAAGTAATGCGTAATCAATAAAAGGCGCTCTTTATTTTTTTTCCTTAGCCGTACCTGTATTTTTTAATTCTTCTGTTTGATAGACTTCTATGAGAATTTTTAGCTTCTCTACATCATTGAAGGAAGAAGTATCTAAAAAAAAGATCGATTAAGAATGAACGCAAAGATAGGAAAGAAAAAAATTGTGCATAAACGACAAACATTTCAAGGCAAGAGAATATGGATAGCACCTCTACCATGGGCGCAATCAAGTCAATGCGATAAAAGAAATGCCTACAATCGGATCATGGAATCTAAGTTTACACATCTCTGAATCATTCATCTACACAAATCGAGCACTTTTTACCTCCTTTTTTTTCTTATCATGAGACGCGAATGGGACTCGACTCAATTCATACGACGACGACCACAAACTTCATTTTCACTCCCTTGTACTTTACACTCGTGAAAAGGATGCGGAAAAATGAACCATACGAATTAAAGACGAAAACAGTTCCGCATCATGATAGGGAGGATAAAAGGATCAATCATATCTGCAAAAAAAAAAACATGCAGAGTAATGAAAATAATTAAATAAATCTAATGTGCATGTAGGAGAGAGATCTACGCACATATATCTATAGATATAGATATGTGGAGGACTTCTAATATTAGCCATATATTGAAGTTGTTCTATTTCATCTTTCTTATCTGTTAAATTTATATGCGAAGTGAATTGTTCACCTTCAAAGTAATAAGCAAGTGTATGCATGTGCGCATGTAAAAGGGATGCATAAGAGATATTTAAAGTTTCTATTGATGTTTCTCATATGGACCTTTTAATATGCTTGCTACTCACTGTGATGTTATCCCTTAGGATCCATTCTAGCAGCGGGAGACCTTCTTTCGTCATTGCCAACACTCTGTGTGGCGTTAGAGCTACGCGTGCGTTTGCAGGCGATTGGGCCAGCCGAGGCCTTCACATTGTTTCCGTTGTTGCTGTTAGCGGCATATTGAGAAAGCATATTAACGCTGAACCGGCTTGGGCGCAGGCTGCCGCACCGGCCTCGCTGCTGTGTCTCTTCAGCGCTGGAGCTGGTCATGGCATTGGGGCGCGTATATGCTCTCCCCCTTGGGCGCATAGACGACATCAACGGTGAGGCACCGTTCGCGGAAGCGGAGCTCCTACAAAAGTTCTCTTTAGTGACCGGCGAGCTATTCCGCCCGATAACACTAACCCTGTAGTTGGTGGGCTCACCGCTGGGGGCTGTGGTGGGCACGAGTGAGGGTATGGAGTCCTCCGCTACGGAATCCCTTACAGTCTCCTGGGAGGCTTGGAAGGCGGCCATCATGTCGCCTCCCAACGCCACGGAGGAGAGCGGCACCAGCGCCGCCACACGCATCGACGTGAGCCTCCCCTCATAGGCACGCTCGATGTGCTCCAACGACTGCTGCACCTCCGCCGGGGCCTCAGCAGGGGGGAAGACGAGCTCCCCCTGACGCACGGTGGCCAGACACGCATCGCGAATCACGCGTTGAAGGGGCTGTGGGTTGGCCGCGTTGGGGTAGCGCCCCCGCGCGCACAGGCGATCCCGGACGTTCTGTTGGGCGACCTTGATTTCGTCTGCAGCCCGCTCTTGGGCCTTTTTGAGGCTCACCAGTCCTTGCTCCAGGCCCTCGCGGAGGCTTTGGCAGACCACCTCGGTCTGACGTCTCCGCCGTTCCTCCGCTGCCTGCACGAGGCTGGCGCTCCTTTCGTGGGCCTCAGTGAGTTCATGGAGAAGGTCTTTAAAGGCTTGATTGATGCGTGCCGTGATGCGTTGGCAGCTTGCGTCGCACGCCTCCAGAAGGCCCCACGCGGCGCCCTCCTTGCAAGCCTGTCCGCCAGGGAGCGGTGCAGGATCGCTGAAGGGTGCAATCGGCGGTGGTTGCTCGATCGATGACGCCTTTCGAGCCGCACGCGACCTCCGAGCGGGGCTGATGGGGAGCGATGCGGTAGAGCGTCTAGGCGCCATGCTAATACACTGACTATCCCGCACTGGACATAAGGCATCCGAAGAGGGACGGGTCTTCGCGGGGCTCGGGTATCCTTGCGGAGGCAATGAGTGCTCTTGTTGGGGTTGAGTGGGGTCGCTGACCTCCATAGGTAGTGGGGAGGCTAACATGCTCAGTACCTGGTCGCGCCACTCCACAAGCCTCTGATGACTGGCCACGGCGCTGCTTTGCATGACGCACTTGGCCTCAGCCACGGTCGCCTGAACGACGCGCTGAAGCGCCTTAGAGTGGTTCTCGAAGCGGAGTAGGGCATCGTGGTATAGAGTTTTGAAACTCTGTAGCTGCTCCTCCTTGTCGTAAAGCATACCCTGAAGGATCTTAGCCTGGGATTCTGAGATATGCTTTCGAGCATCACTGGCCTGACTCTCTTTTACTAGCTGATCCACACTACTCCGAAGCTGATTTGCCTCTTCTTCGAGCTGCTGCGTTTGCTCGTGCTCTTCCTTAGTGACGTAGTACCCACCTTTTTCATTCACGCGCTCCTGCAATCGGTTTCGCAGCCTCTGATTCTCCACCTCAATAGAACGCAGCCGAATTAGAAGCTTTTCACGTTCGGTGTTGGCTGCATTGCGGATACTTCGGGCCTTGACGGCGTACGAGAGGGTTGATTTAGTTTCCTCGATGTCTCGGCCCACGGACGAGATGCACGCTATCATCAACGTCCGCGCCGTCCCCCCGATCGAATCTTGCAAGAGCTCTGTGAGCCTCGAGTCGCGGTAAGGTACATGAGTTGGACGAGTCGCTTCATTAGTATTCGAGAGGGCTAAAAACACACTCTTAAGGGCGAGGAGGGACTTGTTGATCCTACCGGCTTCCCCAGCAACGAAGCCACTGGCCTGAGACTTTTTAATACTCTCAGATCCCGCTAGATCAACCAGGAAAAGGTGTGCCACGTCGGTTTCTTCCGTAAATACATTAAATTCTTCCAAGTCAAGAATGAATACGACGTGGGACCGACTACTGCGCTCGTTCATCAAGGTTTTAGCCGTGTGACGCCATGCCAGAGCTTGCTTGAGGGCCAGGTTGGCATCCTGCATATGACCAAGGGTGACCTTATTGGTAAACCTAGGAAAACCCCCAATGAGCGTGACTTCTTCATCACCATTGGGGCTTAGCATATCAGACAAGTGTTCGTTATAGATCTCAACAATAGAAAGCGTTAGCGCACATTTGCAACCATCTATGGTCTTTGCGTGTACGTGGCTCAGCATATGCGCAATGACCTTGTGCGCGATGCCGTTGTCTTCACCGTCATTTCCCAACATGGTGTATGTTTTCCCGGTACCCGTTTGCCCATACACCATGATAGTGCCGTTAAGTCCGTCCTTTACGCACTCCAGAATCGGTTTACAAGCATCAAATACGTCGTCCTGAGACGCATTAGGTGTAAAGGTAAAATCAGGATCGTAAGTCTTGGAATCAAGAAGAATGCGGCGGCCCTGAAGATCTAAGCCAGTTGCAGCCCGCTCATTTGCAAAGAGTGGCCGGCACCTCACTGCAACCTTAATACTGCTCATTTAGCTTTTCTTATTGTTATTCAACTTTATCGTGTGCGTTTTAAATGAATTGCTTGATTTTATTGTCCAACTGCAATTGTGCAGTACAGCAAGCAGCACTAACTCAGAACAAGTGCGCAAAATAGGATCGGAGAGGAGTAAATAGTGTCAAGATTTCAACACCAAGTAAGACAGTCCCACCAACTGGGCTGAACGACAAACTAATACTTATCCTTAAATCATCGACTTTCTTAAGAGTAAAGACATAGAGAGGATCACTAAGCGTTAGAAATTTTTATTGTGACGGCAACATGTCCTTCGAGAGTAATTTTTGAATAACATTAAAAATCAATACGCACTATATTAGGAAACAAAGAAAAAATATCGTTCAACACCTACAAAGCATCGACACGGTCCTTTACATCTCATCCACTCTACACACTATGAAAAAGTAATTCTGGTAATACCCTCTACTCTCAAAATTGTCCACAACGGCTCATCATGGAACAATATAGAAGACCCCGGAAGCGACCCGGGATATCGCGTCTTGTCATTTATCCTTTTCAACAGTTTAACGATACTAGTACTCTATATATGTATATATATATATTTATACATGTGCGCTTCTCCCTCGCTACCATCACATATCGGTGCAGGTACTTCCTTACCGCCCCATTTCATTCACACTCCCAGAATGGATAGAAACACAACGGCGCTACATGCTAACAG